GTTGTATTACTTTTTGTTGTAAGATATCAACCTACTATAGACAAGTAAAATAAATACCATTTATCTTCTACATGAGAAATTGTAGAAGAACTTAAACAGGTGAGATATATGATAAGGAGATTAAAAACACTCTTACATACCAATGATGATGGTGGTGCTGAGGAGGGAGAAAATGATGACCACCTATCTACTGCTTACTGCAATTATTTACTATAGTACAGGTAGGGTTCTATTTTACAAAATTATGTCATTTAATTATCATGATAACCTTATGATGTAGGCACTACTGTCTTTATTGTATAGATGAGATAACTAAAGTTGAGGCAAAGGAATAACTTAACTGAGATCACAAATGGGGGATGGACAGATTGAACAGAAATCAGAGAAAAAAGTAGTTCAGAATGAAAAAAAAGAAATCAGTGAGAAATGCCACAGAGACCTGAATAGCATAAGGACTACGCAGGATACACCGGCATGGTAACTAGGACATTATTACTGACAAACTGACTGGTATGGCTTAAAGCTGCTTGCTACATACTAGCTGTCTGATTTTCAAAATACATGACATAATACATATAAATCGTAGCAGCCTATCATTACAGCGATCAAGAAAGGTGACAATTTTATGGAATTTTAAAATTGGTTTCTAATCATACTTATAGTCGGTTTTCTGCTCTTTTAAACTATAAATATGTATATCTAAAGGAATTTGTGCTCCAGTAAGTGGCAAAGATGTCATCAATTTCTGCTTAAAATTATCCTTTAAAAGAGAACATTAAAAATAATACTACAATATTCCAATCCAAACAACCACTTTAAAATTTTCTCATCAGTTCATAAAGAATCCTCCTGCCAATGCAGGAGACACGGGTTCAATTCCTGAGTCGGGAAGATCCCCTGGAAGAGGAAATGGGCACCCGCTCCAGTATTCTTGCCTGAAAAATTCCATGGACAGAGGAGCCTGGCCAGCTACAATCCATGCGGTCGCAAAGAGTCAAATATGACATAGAGACTAAACAACAACAACAATTAAGTACTACTTCCCTGGACTGTTAAATAGTAATCTGTTTTCATTAATTTCATACATTCTGAAGTTACATTTTAGGCACATACAGATTCAGGATTGTGCCATCTTTCCAGTGGGTCTGTTACCTCTTCATCTTGGTGAAACATACCCCTTTAACTCTAGCAGTGAGTCTTTGCTTTAAAGTGTACTTTGTATGATTCAGTTTTCTTTTAGTCTACCATAATTTTGGTATAATTTTACTTCCAATCATTTTGAATCATTGTATCTAAAGTGTGTCTCCTTCAAAAATTATCAGTATTTTTTCAACCCTGTATGACACATTTAGGCTTCTACCTGGTGTGTTTAGTCTACTGATGTTTAATATAGTTACTGATATAGCTAGGCTTGTATTTATCATTTTACTATTTAATTTTTATTTGAACCCTTTGTTATGTACCTTTTTTCTCTTTTCACACATTCCTGTGAGCTCATAAAACATTTCTATTCATCAACTCTTCTCAATCAACTTGTTATTTCATTCTTTCCTTTATTCTTCTTTAGATTTACCCTAGAAGTCATAACAACAACATTTGCCATGTCATTGATATGCTGACACCTTAGACTGCTTTAGGGTTATTTACTCCCTCACTCTTCACATTACTTTCACCATCTATTTGTTTTTCTACACATATTTTAAACTCCATGAGCTATTTTTTAATCCAATTTTCATTTAAATTTACCTTTTCTGTTACTTTTCTTTGCTCTCAGGTTTCATTGCTTATATCTGAGATCACTTTAACTCCTGCTTTATGTTCTCCCTGTAGTATTTCTTTTGACTCCAAACTAATATCAGTAAAATCCTTCAGATTTTGTTGGAAAATGTACCTCTTTGACCAGACCAATCATCCTACATCAACACTTTTCTATCCTACAAGCTGTTTTTCAGTAACAAACAAACAAAAAAAGTTATTTGCTCTCTAATGAAAATTCTTTAATTAAACTTTGAAAACCCATCCTTCTTGCCTAGAATTCCTTGCCATGCATCAGGTCCTGAACTCCTATTTTTCCTTCAGTATTTTGCTTCAATATAACTCTCTTCAAGATTTCCTGCTTCAAAACCACCTCTGTAACAATAACAAAGGTAGGATATACAATTTAGACACCTCAACTCACAAATAACATTCACATTGATGTTAACCAAAATGAATAGCTCAGAAAATATTTCATAACATAAACAAAACTAAAATATTGTCCCTGAAACTTCATATCAATATAGGAGAAAGTCTTTCCCCGTTTCTGTCTGAGATAGCTAAATCAGAATTCTATCAATCCAACTAGAATAGAATTCAGTCTATATACTTTGTAAAATAGAACCTAGAGACAGAAAGGGAATAAGCCAATTCAATAAATTGTTTATATAATGTGGTATAAAGAATGTCAAGGGAAGCATCTTTAACTTAAGATGGTCATAGAAGGAGACACTGAGTTCTTGAGCTTCCCAAAGACAGTTCCATTGGATGCCTTGCTTTTTAAGTCTATAACATCTTGTGTTACTTCAAAGCTAATTTAAAGTTGAATTTCTTTACCTATAACTGAGACAATGATGATTAAGATTTTTCAAGCTACTTGACAGTGGAGAATACTTTCAGTACTATTTCATCCCCTAGCAAAATATCCTGTCTGTGCCTGAAACTTAAGAAATATTTGCTGGATAGTATAGCCAAAAATTTATATAAGTGTACAATATCCACCATTACCATAGGAAGCACTACTTTTTATTAGCCTTTGACTGATTAAATACAGAAGCTACTGAAGAAATAACAATCATTATCAATTCTCTTTATTTTCTTAATTTTTCAGAAATACACAAAATTCTATTATCACGCTACTAAGATTCTTCTCATTAATAGCAAAATTAGATCCAAATTGGATCAAACCAGATGAAGTACTTTTCTACTTTCTTAAGTATCAATTAAAGTGTCTCCTTATTCATGTAATACTTTTAAAATTATGATCTGTCAAATCTGTTTAAACATACATAGAAACATTATAACTGAAAGTACTCAAAAGAACTGTGATATAAAAAAGAACACGTCCCAATTTATTTTGTAAGGCCAGTAGTACAATCCTACAATGTTAGTAAGACTGCACGAATAGAAAACTATAGACTGATCTGCCCCAAAAACATAGGCATAAAAATTCGTAAAATTTCAACAAATTGAATCCAGCAATATATTAAAGTTGTAATACAAAATGACTAAGTGGAGTTTACCCCTCATTACCAAGATTGGCTGGTCATTCAAAAATAAATCAATGTACTCAATTCTATTAGCAAACAGATCTCTATTAAAATAATTTTATTATTTTACACTTAAAAACAGAAAGCTTATTATAGTTGTATAAACAAACACACATACTCATAAGCCTTAATAGTAACATAACATATTCCACAGGATTGATATAATGATTTTACTCTAAGAGTAGGAATTAGGATGTACCTATCTTGACCATCATAGTTATTTTCAACATTTTATTACTTTGGGAAAGTGGGATATTTTAATTTCATTATAGAAATTCTGGTTTGGCTTCTAGAACATACTACTAGTATGATCTCAAAAGGAAAATCCAATTTAGAAAGTTAATTTCTAATCATTAAATATTCATGAACATTCTAAAGTGTGGAATTTGCTTAAAAATAAAATATAATTAGATAGCCATGAAATAAAGGGCAGGAAACAATCAGAAATATAGCAATTCTTTCAATTTTAATTACTATTTAATAAGCTCGTGGATGAGACTTTTGTCACCTTCAATCATAATCTGAATAAAACAAATGAAATCTGATTACTTCTATACAAATCATAAAAAAAATGACGCCTCCAGCATCCTAAAGGTCAAAATTCTAAAAACCCATAAGAAAACATTTCTGACATATTTTTACTATATTAACATCTAATTCAATCACAATAAAGAAGTAAATCTATCAAATTAATTATCATTACTACTTACTGAGTAGTAATTTATACTAATATTTCTTGAACAAGTAAGTAATTTCCTTAATTTAGACATGAAATCACTTTACAAATCAAAATTTTTCAAGCAAATATACAATTTTTAACAGTCACTGTCTTCCCACAAATCACACAGAAACTGATAAAGCATGCAAAATTTTCTAGTCACAAATCAAAAATGGTCATTTATTAATAAAAAAGAATAGATTATCTGTAATTTTTTTAAAGATCACAAAACATAACGGTTCAGCATAGGGTCTGGCACACATGAGCTATTTAATAAACTAATCTGAACCAATCTAATCAAACAATCATAAAAGAATGAATAAATAAATCTAAACATTTTAACACATAGATATTTCCTTCATAAAAGAATAAATTAAGAATACACACCTGGACTATTTTAAGATAGTAAGAATATCCTAAATGTCCCTAGCAATAAATCAGAAGCCTTTAGCAGTCTATCACTAAACACAATAAAAATAAAATATACAACATATACAGAGCATATAAAGAAATCAGTAGTGAGAAGTAGTGAGCCTTCAAGAATTAACTGTAAGGTACTGCTAGTTCTAAATTTTTCACGACGATTTGAATTATGTTCAATATATAATAAAGATTGCTAAAAAAAGTCAGTGATTTCAAAAGGGATTGTAAGAAAATATCTATTTAACCCTCAAAGAATGAAATCAGTCAGAAAATATAAATGTCATAGTTATTTCAAGTTCTGATACATTTTTTAAGAATATAATCACACTGAAAAATTAGTACATACTTATTAGTATATATTCAGTATTATTTGTTCAAACATTTTTTACGAAGACATTAATCATCACAGACACCCACTGTATCCTTTCTATGAAGGATCAATACATGCTTCACATTGTGTAAAATATAGAAACCTTTATCAACTCTTTGAACAAAAACAGCATTCTTTTTCATATGAAAATATTCAGTGGTCATTAAATACTATTAACACTTACCTGTATTTTAATAGGCCATGAAAAGTTGCTGACATATACATAGAATGTAATGTTTGGATTGCTTCTAAAGTTAAATTTTTCGTAGGAAAAACTATCTCTGTATTCTTTTATATTAGTCTTGGAAACTATAGGAGTCTCCTCTCCAGATATTGTTCCAGCTAAAATGTAAATAATAACAAATTTAATAATTCATATTAAGGAAACATATCTTTATTAAAGTAACATTTACATATATATGATATTTACTTAATTTTTCTAACTGTACTTATAAGGACATAACTATGCAAATAAACTCATGTTTATAATGTAGAATGACAAGGAAGAAATAAGATTTGTCATAAATATAATGGAAACAGATTTAGTATAAAAACTATTTTTTAAAATAATACCAATTATTTTAAGTGCTACATACTAGGCACTGACTTAGAGACTTTATGTCCTATTCTAATAAAAACTTTATCCCATAGGTATTCCATCTCTGTTTTTCAAATTGGAAACTGAGCCTCAGAAAGATTAAGACATTTGCCTCAAGTTTATAGCTACTGAACAGTAAAGTCCTCTTTGGAACTCAAGTAATACATAGCTTCAGGAACTGATGTTTTGCTACTTATTTCTCCACAGAGCCTTTCAAAACAAAATATGTCTCAATCCAATTAAAAAACAGAAAAGAAATCAATTTTTTTTGTTTATCACGTATTGAACCATCACTATTTTGAATAAAGTGGGAGGAAGATATAATTTAAAACATGAGCTAAAAGTTCAATTAGTTAAACACCTATTGGGTACTCAATAAATATTTAGTGAAATTAACCAAACGGAAGAAAGCCCTTTGCCTTAAAGATAAGAACGGTTAGGACACTGAGCAACTGAATTATTTTGTAACCGATCATCTGTTCCAAAATTACCATGAATGCTTTTATAAAATGCAGGTTTCCTGGTGACATCTTCCAAACTAATAAATCAAAATATTGAAGATTTGGTTTTGAGAATCTGAAAATTACAAGTAATCTCTTTCATACTGAAGGCACTGTTCTAAAGTGATTACTGAGGTTTTAAATATTTTTGTTGCCAAATTTTAAAACTCTTGTAGGGTCAATTTGTTATACAAAATTTTACCTTAACAGTACAAGTTATCATGAACTCCTAGTTAATGAAACTTACAATGTCACGATTTCACTATATGTTTACACTATTGCAACAAAATACATACATATGTATCTAAAGTTTTCAATTCTTACATATGTAAAATAAAAACTGGAATTGCAAAGACCCCTTAACATTTGAATTATGTTTCTATTATTCTATTCATACTTATTAAAATAGCACATGATTTAATTTTAAGAAATCAAATATGGATTTCTAAGGATTCCTATATTTTCTTTAAAAGTTTCCAGTATTTTTATGCAACAGTGTATCCTTTATATAGAAAGTAGAAACCAATAGCATTTCTTTAAAACAGCAAGCATACTTTCTCATAATCCAACATACAGACTTGTACTTTTTATATTTCTTAAAAGTGAGCAATTTCAATTTATAAACCTTATTATGGAAGAAATATTAAGTGTAGGGTTTTTTAACCCTCTCTCAGAATCAAATCCAACAATGATAGGGGGTATAAATCCAAGCTTAAAGGTAATAGGTAAGTTGGTAATTTACCAGCATACACAGAAATAATTCGTTGTTGTTGTTTTTAATTTGTTGTCTTATATCAATATTAAAGTTATTAAATTTATAGCTTCAATGATGAGTCAAATAATTGAAATCTCAGTCTCTTTAGTCATTAATGAAGTAATCTGTCTTAATTAAAATCACAGGAATTCATAACACTGCCATATAAAGAAATAAGTAGTGTAAAATATCTGTTATCCACCTAATATTAACTGAATTAGGGAGAAAGTTAACAGAATAATGACACTTTATTAATAATGCTACTTAATATTTTTACCTAAAACAGCACAAATATTCTGGCATAGAATATTTTTATTTCAATTATTTAAATTAACAGTAGAAAGGTCATATCAGAAACCTTACACATAAGAACAGAAGTAAAAGACACATGGCCACAAAGTTCTCTTACCTGTTGAACCAACCGACCATGTAATGTTGAGATTAAAGTTGTTTGATGCATTAATTGAAATATCCAAATTTTTGTTTGACTACCAAGAAAGAAAATATGAAGATTAAAAAACCAGAATAATACTAGATGTTATCTTTAATGTTTCAATTATGCCCATGCTGTTTCTCTAACTGTGAACATTAAGTCAATAGTTAAGTGAGAAAGTATAGACACCAATTACACTTTTTTAATGAAAAAAAAAAGCTAATAAATTCAAAGGTATATTTAAAGTTCCCATTTATCTTTCCTACTATAACTTGGTCTTCTACATGTAGCCAGAGGCTGCTATAATTCAATACTTGTATTTTTATTTTCTTGGCTTACCTGTAGTTAATATTTAAATGATATGGGTTTGGTTAGTCCAAAGTTATTTCACAGCAATGGATGATTGTTTTGTTGAAAGATTTCTTGTTAGCTGCATATAGTATTAGTATATACACATTTTTCGGTTAAAAAATTACTTAAAATGAAACGTAAAACTTAGAGGCAAAAGTTATAAACCTACCTGGGGAAAAAGAAGGGATCAAGTCATATAAACATGTGTAGAGAGGAACAATGAAGAATTTTATATTGATCAACCTGCATCTTGTCATTAATTTAATTGCACAGAAGCAAATGCCCAAGAGATTTCTTTAAATGTTATTTGCTATTATCCTACTCCAAGAGATGAGGAACAAAAATTATGTATGATTATAACTATCAAGACTTGCAGAAAGGCATAGAAAGATAGTCATACTGAATAGCTTTAGCTGCAGATATTAAGTGTGCTTTGCTGTGTTTTAAATATACAAAGACTCTTAGAAAAAGCTGTGTTGCTAAGTAATACCTGGCTACTAAAATAACTAAAATTAATTCCTTGATATTACAACTTTTTATAAATAAGCCAGAATAAGAAAGCCAATAGAAAACGTATTGCCAATTTTCTGAGTGGCTCTTAGAGAAAGTAAGTCTATAAGCAATTAAGTTTCCCATATCTGATAGAAATAGTGTTAGGAAGAAACTGACAGAAGGACATGGTTCTTCCCTGCTATGGGAGGAATAAGAAGCAGCATGATAAAAGGCAAAGGCTGCTGGGTGATGTGTAACAGTCATTCCATGTAAATGATACACTAAGACCCAACTATTTAACTTCAAATAAAAACTACTCTAAATGATTGCCATAGAGACGGGGACAGATGGGCCTCTATTAAGAACTACTAACAATGCTCCATAATCATTGAAAGATACTCTCTTCAAAGTTTCCAGGAAGCAAATATAAACTCAACAAGAATGGTCATCTTGAAAGAGTTTACAAAATAAAATGTGTGGTAGTAAGGCTGAACAATTTTGCCACATAGATTTTCAGTAGTGATCATTACTACTGAAGAGATAACATCAGAGAATTTGAAGTGATCAAAGAAAAACAAGGCTTGGAGTTTAAAAATATACAGTATTTCAGAAGGGCACTATATTATCCACCAGAGTCATATTTGTTACTGGCCACAAATATAAGAAGGAAGTTAACTTACTGAGTTCTATTGGTAAGCTATTAAAATATTCTCTCATATGTACCACAAAACTTTCAAACTTCTTAAGACCCTTCCACTTTTTAAAGATATGAAAACAGATGACACTGATTCAAAAATAATGCCAATATTAATGACTCAAGTAATAAATGCAAAAAGCTTTTGTCAATGTGCAAACAGTCTGTCCAACAGACTGCATTACTCAGGTGTGGTAGTAACATCTATTTCATCATACTATAATGCTACATTAAGGAGAACACAGATATGAAAAGAAGAAATTTCTCTGGTAACAAATACTGATTTACTCCATCAATAATGAACTAACCAGACCCGATAACCAATCACTGCTTCATATTAATTAAATCATGTTCATGAAGCAATGAAGTGAATTAGCAGAGTATTCATTGTTGAATCGGATGACCTTGGGTTCAAATCTTAGACCTTTAATGTACATGCGTATTGATTTAGAGAGAGCTACCCTTATACTTTCTGAAACTCAGCTTTCTTATCTCTAAAATGGGCTTCTCTGGTAGCTCAGTGGTAAAGAATCTGACTGCCAATGCAGGGGATGGAGGTTCGATCCCTGGGTAGACAAGAGCCCCTGGAGAAGAAAATGGCAATCCCCTTCAGTATTCCTGCCTGGGAAATCCCATAAACAGAGGAGTCTGAGAGGCCCCAGTGCATGGGGTCACAAAAATATTGGACACGACTTAGCAACTAAACAACAGTCTCTAAAATGGGGATATCATGACTTCTCTAAAGACTTTTTTGGGAAAATTAAACAAGATAATTTCTCAAAAAACTTTCATGGTTTCAGGCCACCATGCTGATAATGGTCATATTATTGATATTATTAGGTCTGGGGACACAGGATTTCTTCTTCTCCTTCTTTTTCATCTTCCGTTTTACTAAAGGACTCAGAAAGAAGGCATGACTGTTGGCCTCTGAGAAAGGTTGAATTTCTTATTATTAATAAAATAGTTAAAAAAAAAAGAGTTGCTTTCTATGAAAACAAAACATGGTAGAAACAGTGCACCCCTAAGAAAGCTTAAATCATTATTTTTATCGTGAAGTTGCATCTTAGTAATTGTGTGTGCCTTATTTCGCGTCAGGGAAATTTGAGAATAACTGCTATTACTACTAAAAAAGGTCATACAATATTTCCAACTGATATAGAAAACTATAAAACTTTCTTGAAATTTTACTTCATCCTCTGAAGCTCAGGCATTAATGAAATATATGGTACTATAACTAAAGTCTTATAAAATATATTTAAGGTCAAGGAAAATATGCTGGACTGCAAGAAGTAATACTGTGACTACCAGAGTAACTGACAAAATTAGTCATTTAGAACATTGTTGTTAGAGATGGTTAAGTTCAGCAAGATCATATTACATAAGAAACTACTCCAGAAGTTGTTAACATGAAAGCATTGGTTGAGATGATGTATAGTAGGTTAGAATTAAATTTGTTTTCAAAATGTAATAACTGCATAAAAATGAAAGTACTTCTTCTTTGTAGAAGAGGCCCAGACTAACAATACATGTTAATTTCAGAAACTGTTCTAAGTTGCATTTTTCTTTAATTATAAATTGTAGGTATAGATATGTATGTAGTTATAAATTACTTATAATGATGTTACAAGCATTCTTAGTGGTACTAAGATATGATAGTTTAGTGTGCATCAGTTTCCCAAAACATGTGTCTGGGCTCTTGGTTTCAACTGAACAAAACAGCAAAAAGTAAATCTGAAAGCTGTGACACTGTAAGAACTCAAGGATTTCTGGGAATTGAAAGAGGAGAGGATAGTCAAGAGAGAAACAAACTAGAATTATGGCTAATCTGAGCTTATTTGTATGACACCACAGATAATATTGGACAGAAGTACTGTTCACACCTACATTGTGAGCCAGACACCCCACTTTTATTAAATTTCTTACGTCCTCAATGAACTCCACAAGTTTGGAATTACTATTTATGAATAAAATTCTGATTCATGTGACAACATGGATGAACATTCGAAACATTGAAACATTAAGCTAAGTGAAATAAGTCAGAAATAGAAGTAAAAATGTTACATGATTACACATATGAGGTACCTGGAATACAGAGACAGAAAGTAGAATAAAGGCTTCCCAATGATGGGAGTAGGGAGGAATAGAGAGTTATTGCTTAACAGAAACAGAGATCCTACTTGGACTGATGAAACATCTTGATAATGGACTGTGATGATGGTTGTATAGCATTGTAAATTTACTTAAATGCCATGAAACCATACACTTAAAAATGGTTAATATATAAATATTACTTCATGTATGCTTTACTACAACAAACAAGTCTACAGTGTTTACAATGCATTTATTAAAACACTCATACTAAAACTGTAGTTTCTGACATATTATTAATGTCTTCATAAAAATACACACCATCAGTGAAGAGAGCATTATCATGTAAAGAAAATATCTTCTAAAATCCTTATTTAAAAATCAAAACTTTATACAAAGTTTTTTTTAATAATAAAATATTTTGTTTTTAAAAATACTCAGTGTGAAAAATAACTATAAAATGCAACTTGATGTTATACTGTTGCCAATTCCTTCTGCAGGAAAAGTCAAAACATTAAATATAATCCCCAAAATGTAGGCATTCCTTAAAACCTAAAAACTAAAGAGTAACGTAAAATGAACTTCTCTATTTTGGGGAAAGAGAGATCTAATTTACTGAAAAATGAAAATTTAAGAAATTACACTATTAGCTGGCAAGTTCAGTAAAACAATTTAGAGGAAAGAAGTTTGCAAATGTCAGGATACATTTTGAGGTTTCACCTATTTGAAAAACTATTAAAAAAAACATGACATGGGCTTAATAAGCTGAATTAATGTATAGTAAGAACGAAGCACTACAGAAAGAGTGACATCGGCAAAACAGTGTAACAGGAAGTCCTAGCCCTCATCCCTGACAAAAACACCAATTTAACAATGATCTATGGACCAAATTACTGCTTTGAGCAGACCAAAATCCAGTTAAGAAGTTGCAGGACAAAAATTAAATGCAAAACTGAGAATAGCTACAATATAATGCATAAAAAGAACAATTTCACTCTACCAAGGTCAGCAGCTCACCCAAGACAGCACAGCTCAATATCAGAAAGACCAACATGGCCAATGACTGCTTCCTTAAGGGAAAGAGAGTATAACATGCATCCAATAAACTTGATCTTTATTTAATGTTACTGCCCAAATGACCTGTTCCTGTCTTGACTAGACAGAAAGCACTAAAAAATCAAGCACAGTGTGGACATCTGACATCAGTGAAACAAACAAAACGTGTGTGGCTCACTACAGCCAACATGTCTCACAAAGACGGGTAGAAGGGGCCCAACTCTGAGACCTCTCCCCCAGAAGAAAGAGTTAGAGATACAAGCTTGCAAACAGTGTATGCTAAGTGGCTTCAGTTGTGTCTGACTCTGCAATGCTATGGACTGGAGCCCACCAGGCTCCTCTGTAAAAGGGATTTTCCAGGCAAGAATATTGGAGTGGATCGCCATTTCCTTCTCCAGGGGATCTTCCTGACCGAGGGATCCAACCTGCCTCTCTTTATGTCTCCTACATTGACAGGTGGGTTCTTTACCACTAGCGCCACCTGGTAAGACCTAAAGATCTAATGCTCTACACAGTGATTATGAATAACAATACTGTTGTTGCTGTTGTTGTTCAGTCGATAAGTTGTGTCCTACTCTTTGCAACCCAATGGACTGCAGCATGCCAGGTTTATCTATCCTCCACTAACTCCCAGAGTTTGTTCAAGTTCATGTCCATGAGGACATGAGGATGAGCTGGTTGTATAGCATCACTGACTCAATGAACATGAATAACAATACTGTATCATAAATTTCAAAGTTCTAAGAGACTTTAATTATCATTAACTCCCCAAAATTACAACTAGGTGACATGATTGCAGTGGTAGATCATGCTATGGTCGTAATCATATTGCAATATACACATATATTAAATTAGCATGTTATACACTTTTAACTTATACTGTAAGATGTCAATTACATCTCAGTAAAAATGTTTTTTAAAACCTAGCATTCATATAACTCAGATAAACCAAAGGGTTTATAAAAAAAGACAATGAAAACCTACTATTATATAACCATATATTAAAAAAAGAAAATACATATAATATAGCTTGTGTTATGAACTAGTAGGTCTTATTTTCAAAGACGACTACTACCAGTGTGAAAACATAATTAAAAACAGAAACACTGCTGTAAGCCTGAAAAAAAATAACAGAAATAATGTATACACTGTAGGACTATTTGCAAAATCTGAAATATCAAGGTAAAAAATTCTCTGATTACAAAGATGCTTAGGTTATATGAAAAGAAAAACCTAATAGAATTTATTTTTCTACAAAAGCCCTACAGTGTGATAATTCTAAGAAGAGGCACAATTACAAAGAAACATAGAAAACACTGCATCCATTGATATAACTACACTATAAAAGTTAAATGATCTTCTCACCTGTTCTGGGTTTGCTATGAAGTTTATGGCAGTATGGTGGCGATCATCTTCCTGTAATAAGCTGAATGTAAACTGATAATCAATCAAAAGGCTGTCTGTAGGGGAACAAAATACAATCCCGATAGGTACTTTTAAAACTTGCTTGAAAAACAAGTTAGGTGAAAACATATTGAATATCTGCATTGAAAATTATTGTCATTAAATCACTAGTGGTGTATTCAAGACTGGCAAAATATAAATCATTGTTATCAAGCAACAAAAAGTAAAATGCACATATAAAAGCATTTAACACTTCAAAATTCTATTTATTACTTCTGTTACCATTATAAAATTTCTACAAACTACAGTTTTTTCTGGAAAACTACAAAAGAGAATAAAATAAAGTCATCCATAATCTTACAATCAGACAAAATTACAGGTAATATTTTGGTGCATTATATTCAAGTTAAAATTCCATAAATAGAAAGATAACAGGGAGACATTTTGATGTTCTAGTGTTATAAATCCAAAATTCTTTGAAAACATGAATTTTAATAGCTAAGTAATTCTGGTTTAGGAAAGGCAGAGGAACCAGAAATCAAATTGCCAACACTCGCTGGAACATCAAAAAAGCAAGAGAGTTCCAGAAAAACATCTATTTCTGCTTTATTGACTATGCCAAAGCCTTTAACTGTGTGGATCACAATAAACTGTGGAAAATTCTGAAAGAGAAGGGAATACCAGACCACCTGACCTGCCTCTTGAGAAACCTGTATGCAGGTCTGGAAGCAACAGTTAGAACTGGACATGGAACAACAGACTGGTTCCAAATAGGAAAAGGAATACGTCAAGGCTGTATATTGTCATCCTGCTTGTTTAACTTCTATGCAGAGTACATCATGAGAAATGCTGGGCTGGAAGAAGCACAAGCTGGAATCAAGATTGACGGGAGAAATATCAGTAACATCAGATATGCAGATGACACCACCCTTATGGCACAAAGTGAAGAGGAACTACAAAGCCTCTTGATGAAAGTGAAAGAGGAGAGTGAAAAAATTGGCTTAAAGCTCAACATTCAGAAAACTAAGATCATGGCATCTGGTCCAATCACTTCATGGGAAACAGATGGGGAAACAGTGGAAACAGTAGCTGACTTTATTTTGGGGGGCTCAAAATCACTGCAGATGGTGATTTCAGCCATGAAATTAAAATATGCTAGACAGCATATTAAAAAACAGAGACACTACCTTGTCAACAAAGGTCCGTCTAGTCAAGGCTTTGGTTTTTCCAGTAGTCATGTGTGGTTGTGAGACTTGGACTATAAAGAAAGCTGACCACCAAAGAATTGATGCTTTTGAACTGTAGTGTTGGAGAAGACTCTTGAGAGTCCCTTGGACTGCAAGGAGATCCAACCAGTCCATCTTAAAGGAGATCAGTCCTGGGTGTTCATTGGAAGAACTGATGTTGAAGCTGAAGATCCAATACTTTGGCCACCTCATGCGAAGAGTTGACTCATTGGAAAAGACCCTGATGCTGGGAGGGATTGGGGGCAGGAGGAGAAGGGGACGACAGAGGATGAGATGAGTGGATGGTATCACCGACTCAGTGGATATAAGTTGGGTGAACTCCAGGAGTTGATGATGGACAGGGCAGCCTGGCGTGCTGCGGTTCATGGGGTTACAGTGTCGGACATGTCTGAGTGACCGAACTGATAGTGAATCACAAGCCATAAAGCATTTACTTGTCCCTATTATTATGGTAATTTTTACTTTGTGAAATCTTTTAAATATTTCAAATTATTTAAATAGGAAAGAATTCTATTTTTTGGAAACATAACTTTCATGTTATACCCTCAGCCGTTAAGTACGATTAAAGTTAAAAGTAAAGATAGGAACAATATCACTGGATTTATTGTCAGAGCATCATTCTTCATGTTGCTTCCTTGATACCTTGTAAGATCCACTCTATATATTTCTTATGTAATTTAATGCAAGGCAATACTTTGTTTTTCCAAGATTTTATTACAGGCATCATTATCTGTGATAATGAGGATTATATAATAGGTCATATTTATGCTTTTCATATGACTGCCAGAAAATGCAGGGAAAATTCAATGGCCCAGTGTTGTTCCAGACACTGGAAATATAAAATAATAAAAGGTAGAGATTTCTGTCCCATGCAAATTATATCAAATGGACATTGAAAATTAGTAAGTAATTTAAGCATGTAGTATAATAATGTGTAATAGTCATAATCCAGTGAAAAGGAGAGAAATTTCTGTCCAGGTAGGAGTGCTTGCAATTTTGAAAAGGAAAATTTAAAGATAATGAAGCTGAAGCTGAAGCTCTAGTATTTTGGCCATGTAATGCAAAGAGCTGACTCATTGGAAAAGATCCTGATGCTGGGAAAGACTGAAGGTAGAAGGAGAAGGGAATGACAGAGGATGAAATGGTTAAATACCATCACTGACTCAATGGACATGAATCTGAGCGAACTCCAGGAGATAGTGAAGGACAGAGAAGCCTGGTGTTGCAAAGAGTTGGACACAACTTAGCGACTGAACAACAACATCTGTCTAAAGATCAAGGGTAGTTAAGAGAAAAAGTCATGGAGGTTACAACAGAAAGTGTAATCCAGGCAGAGGAAATAAGCACAAAAACCTCAACAGAAGAACAAGTCTTAACTGTGATTCCTATAAAGAGACTGGCAGGAATGCTACAAAAAGTGATGGTAGAGATAGGAATAGCAAGGAAGGTAATGGAAAGGGGTCACACAGTGAATGAATTTGGAAGGTGTAACAAAAAGAATTAGCTAAATAAACAGATGCAGTATTTTAAAGAAAGAAAAGTACAAGGTTTTACTTTTTGGCCCAAGACCAGGTAAAATGTCAGCATTAACTGAGATGGGTAAGAACAGGTTTTATTTGTTGCCAGTGTGGAATAATTGGAAGCTTAGTTTTGAAGATGTTAAGTCTGAGTTACTTATTGAGTATCTACATGATACGCTAAGCTCAGGAGCCTAGTGGATAACAATCTGGAAATCATCTGCATTGTAATGGCCTCTAAAGCTGTTTAGCCAAGAAATCACCAGTCATAAATAGAGGTGCCAGGGATGAGCCCTGAGGTAAAACAATGTTAAATAATCAGATCCTCTGAAGAAGCCCATGAAGGAGACTGACAGGGCAGCCCACGAGATAGAGGCACAACCAGAATTCAGTGTCTACAGAGTCAAGTAAATGAAGTGCTTAGAAAACAGAACAGTGATCACCTTGGTCAACTGCCGCTGAGGAGGTTTTAGAAGTACAGACAGCTACAATACTGAGGAAAGGTACCATCAATTCAGAATAAAGAGAAAACACTAAACTCAATGGACAGGAGTCTGAGCAAACTCTGGGAGATACTGAAGGACGGGGAAGCCTGGCGTGCTGCAGTTCATGGGGTCGCAAAGAGTTGGTCACGATTGAGTGACAGAACCACCATCACCACTGAGGAAAAATAAAGATTTCAAATCTACTTTCAAGTGCTTATCTGAATAATTATCTTCCTGTTTTTCTAGTTTGAAACTCAGCATTAAAGAAGTCAGAAACAGATGGCTTTTAGGAGGAAGGGGCTGGGTGACTTGGACACTTGAGCAGCTCTGGGTAGAGGCTCCGGTGCCCCGGGACTATGAACATGCTTCTGCTCCAGGGACTCCAGTCCTCAGCCACAGTCACCAAACTCTTGCCCAGACATTCAGGTTTGATTTCTCTATTGCTATTTATTCTAGTTGGAAGCACAAGATCAGTACAATGTATATTAAGCATGGTAATGATCGATCCTAACATCATCTGGGCTAGAAAGTAAATCTGAATCCTGAAGCAAAATCAGTAGGAGCGTTACTGAACTCAGGTGACTAATCAAGTACTACTCAGTGAATGTGTATTTTTATAAATTGAAGAAAGTTCAATATTCTACACAAAATGGGTCCTTTTAAGGTTGCTTAAAGTATTCCAGAAACCAACGGTACAATTCTCCACTTAACCAGAAGTCATATTTCACTCCCTGATTTCAAATACTATCATGCTGGTATATTTTAAAGGGGTTGCAAATGAGAAATTACCTGGCACAAAACATATACCTTAATGCTATAATTTACTCTGAACTTCTTAGCTAAGTAGGGTACAGAACATAAAACATTAAAATCCTCAAGTTTATGCAAATGTGCATAATTTGAAAATAAGTTTTTATACTGCTTTAATGAAGCAATTTATTATGGTATAAAAAAGGAAATCATGTTTGACTATAAATCTATTTAAATAACATTGAATTACTGACGAATTCAAAGAAATGACAGAATTGGAGGAGTAAGTGTGAACAGTGAGCTGAGAGAGCTTCTTTTTTAAACTGGGAGAAAGAGCAGCTTTTCTTAATAATCGGCACAAATAAAATTTAGTGGAATAGAAAAAGCTGATGATAAAGGAGAGAGAGAAGAAATTTTAGAACAATGCCCCGGGGTAGGTAAAAGGCAGTGATCTCCTAACTCAAAAGATGACCCAGATGTGAGTCCCCTGGGTTTGTGGGGGTTTTGTTTATTTCGTTGGTTTTTCTTTCCTCTGTATCTATCCCCACTTGTGTGCTAACGTAGCTGTAATCTAGAAATACCAACAAATTCACAACAAAGGGAAAAAAGAACACCTTAAGAAAATCCTGCTGCTGAGATTGTAGGCTGAAGCCCTGTCCGCATCCCACCCTGTACTAAGGTGAGCAGAGATGGAGCCGGTGCTGCTGCAGGAAACAGGGCAAAGTGTTAAGTTTTGTTAAACTCAGTGATAGGTCCACAACTTTAAAATCATGTTATTGTTCAGTCACTCAGCCACGACCAACTCTTTTTGACCCCACAGACTGCAGCACACCAGGCTTCCCTGTCCTCCTACCATCTACTGGAGCTTGCTCAAACTCATGTCCATTGAGTCAGTGATGGCATCCAGCCATCTCATCCTGTTGTCCCCTTCTCCTCCTGTCTTCAATCTTTCCCATTATCAGGGTCTTCTACCATCTACTGGAGCTTGCTCAAACTCATGTCCATTGAGTCGGTGATGGCATACAGCCATCTCATCCTCTGTTATCCCCTTCTCCTC